AAGGGCGGCTAGCACATCCCTCGGCCCGCGCTGCTTCCCGCAGCCCCCATTGGCCTGGAGAAGTGAACCGTGGCCAGTGGGAGCCACGATCGGCTGAACCTGCGGACGTGGCAGGTAAACAACCGGCCCGGCCCGCCAGGGGCTTTCCCTGAATAAGCAGCGGACTGGCTTTGAGAACCACTGCTGTAGAGCAATCTCTTTATCATGAAAGTGCAACTTACAAAAAAAATCTACTTTTGTGTTACATAACTGCACTCAAAAACAAAACAATGTAAAACTTCAGAGCCTACAAGTCTACTCAGTCCTATTTCTTGTTCAGCCAATCACTAAGATAAACAAGTTTGTTTACATTTACAGGAGGTAATGCTGGCCTCTTCTTATTTACAATGTCACCAGAAAGTGAGAACAGGCATTTGCATGGCACTTTTGTAGCCGGTATTGCAAGGTATTTACATGCCAGATATGCTAAACATTCGTATGCCTCTTCATGCTTCATGATAAAGAGGTGAATTGAAAAATACTATTTCTTTTGTTTTTTACAGTGCAAATATTTGTAATAAAAAATAAATATAAAGTGAGCACTGTAAACTTTGTATTCTGTGTTATAACTGAAATCAATATATTTGAAAATGTAGAAAGCATCCAAAAATATTTCAATACATCGTATTCTATTATTGTTTAATAGTTTGATTAATCACACGATTAATAACTATTAATTTTTTTAATTGTGCAATTAATCATAATTATTTTTGTTAATCGCTTGACAGCCCTAGTTACAATTATTTCCCACAACATCTTCCCTGCTTCTGTGCACAACAAAGTAGGTGGTGATCAAGCCAGCAAACTGGCCCTGTGGTTAGTCATGCCCAGATCCTCAAGTGTGCCAGAGCTCTGATCTGAACACCTGAGGGGGTGAGGGAAGGTTGCTGCATACCACCTTTGTGTTCCTCTGAATCCCACAGCTGCCAGGAGCGCTTCAGCCTGTAAGAAAACTTAGGGCTGCTCTACTTTAGGCCAGTTTTTAATGGCCACCTAAAGTGAGGACCACTGAAGAGCACCCCTACAGCTTCTTTGGGCTCCAAATGGGACGTAGTGTAGCATCCATTAGCCCAATGACGTTTCAAGCAAAGTACTAGTCAGAATAATAATAGCTACAACATAGCACATTCACTCTACTTATTCTGTTGCATTTGATGAATGGCAATGATAGCAAGTAAATTATTCAGCATCTTACAGAAATTGAAGCTAGACGTTCACTCAGGCTTTGATTTCCTTCCAGTCTTCGCAAATAATGTCCAGTAAAGTGAGTTCATCCTCCCATTCTTCAGTAGAGTACATTTATCTGTTTTCAGCTAAACTAACTTTATTTACCTGGTATTATAAATAAGAATTCTTTCATTACTTGCTACTTGTCATGCCTTGCATCTAATTACTGGACTATTTTAGATTATTACTCTTTATAGCAGTGATGGTGACCCACTGACCTGGCTCACTCTGCTGCCCTTCCAAACAGTTGCTCATTTCTTGTCCTTCACTTTCTTTCAAGCTTTTCTTGGGGTCTGTGATATGAATGAAGAAACTGTGGCGATCCTTTACCACCTTCATTTTTACCAGAGTTATCCCTGAAAACAACGAAATACAACCATTTGTAAATGGCTTGCTTTTGTGCCTGCAGTTACAGATTGGTGATGCCAACAAGTCAAACAGAGAAATTAGTTAAGGTGTGTCAAATTGCTTAGTAGGAGTAATAGGACAAAATTAAGAATAGGAAAATTTAGATTGAAAAATCTTCCTGACAGTCAGTTCTATTAGGATGTGAAATAATCTTCCAAAGGAGGTTGTAGAAGCCCTATTTCTTGGGACAGTTAAATCTAGATTGGACAAATCACTGGAGCATGTAATGTAGGGAACAACCATGTACTGGTTGCTAAAGGATGGACTAAATAGGACCTAGCTGGTCTCCAGTTCTAATTTTCAGGTTCTCTGGTTATCCACCAACTGTTAAAATATAACAACAAAATATCAACGTTATGATAATACAGAAATACAGTGCAATTAGAAACTATTCTCCAAGTTGCCTAAGAAATCATTAATTTAATACAGAGATGTGAAAAGAACTTTATTATCACTGAAAGTAGTCTTAGAATTCTGATATTGAAGAGCAGTGATCTAATCAGTTCTACAAGCATAACAATTATAAAAAGTTCTCAAGTAATAGCCTTTAAACAGTGTCCTATTTCACGAATACTGTTTTCAATTGCACATGCACCCCATCAATCAACAATAAAATGAATGAAATATAAAGAATGGAAGACTCACCCTTTTCAAATTTTATCTTTTCTGCTTGGATCTGTCCTCCATCAGTGGGGAAAAGATATTGACTGGTCCCTGAGACTTGAATGAGATCCTCCCCCACATTGTAGCCAAGAAACTGGAAAAAGAAATGTCGGACTATGCATGGATTGGAAAGGCAGAAGGCATGAAGGAGGCAGATGGAAGACAAGCAAGATTGCTCTCTTCTGTTTGTTGTTGTTGTTGTTCAGCCATTCAATGCTATTATACAGTGATTAACATGTAGAATTGTTAGATACTGGCATAGGAAATAGTAGCTTATTTATGCTGATATCACTTTCAAAAGACTTTAACAAACTATGGGGCAAATTATTTTCTATTACACCAATACACAACCCTATTATTATTAATGGGGGTATCTGGTTACAAGGGAAAGCAGAATTTGGTCCTATATGAACATATAACATCACTGCTTCACTGATATGCAACCATCCCTGGGGTTAGAGTGTGGTAAATAGGTTGTTTGCTCACCATGTAACAGGGAGGAAGGAGAAATTCTGGCCAAGCACATTGAGAAAAACTATTACTCAGATGAAAAGAGCCATAGGATCTTTAAGATCCAGATGAAGCAGACAGAACTTTGGTTTTCAAGGTCTTACCCAAAATATACATGAATACTAAATGGCATGGAGCTTGACTTATCCACAGTGGAAGGCCTAAATTGATTTAAAGGGATTTAAGCCTATGCCTGCAGGAGCTCTAGACCTTTAACATCTGATACTTAGGGTATGTCTACACAGCATAGTAAGCTTGGTCTATATGACCTGCACCTGTGGACTCAATGTTTCCAAGCTCTCACTTCAGCGTCCACACTGCATTGGAAACCCAGGCCTCACAAAAGTGCTGGCATGTCCATGTTCCACTATGCAGACCAAACTCATAACTTCAGCTTCTTTGGGCTTATGCCATCATATCCCAGGCTCCTAGCACCCTTGCCAGCTGTAGCTGCTCTAGGACTTGGTTCATAGTTGCTTATGGGAGAACTTATCTGTCCATCCCGTGGGAGCTGACTGTGTTTTGGGTGGTAAATCATTTTGTGTCTGCACACTCCCAGCAGATGGAGCCATCAACACTTCTCCTACTCACTTTGTCAGTCCTATTTTGGAAATGAGGCAGAGCATCTCCAAAATGCAGGTGGACATTTAAGTGGCAGTTTTTGACCTGCAAAAGGCACCTCTCAGAGGCATGTATTGACATGCCAGCCATGACTCAGTGGAAGCTGTTCATCCCTGTTGCCTTAGCTGCACATTTCACATATGTAGCCTGGTGCTTCCAGAGCAGGGCCAAAAGCAGACTGGTGGGATCACATTGTCATGCGCACCTGGGATGACCAGTAGTGGCTACACAACTTTTGCATGAAGAAGCAGATGTTCCTGGAGTTTGTGTTCACTTGCCCCGACCTTCCACCATCGTGACACCCATGTGAGGGATGCCGTACCAGCCCAGAAGTGGGTAACTATAGCCATCTAGAAGTTGGTTATCCCAGACTGCTACAGGGTCCATGGCTAACCAGTTTGAAGTTGGCAAATAAACTGTGGGGGTTGTGGCAGAGGTTTGTAAGGCCATCAGGAATGTGATGTACCCAAAGATGGTGGGCATTACAAATATTCCTGAAATAATTGCTGGCTTTGAGGGATTGGGATTTTCAAACTGCACTGGGGCCACTGATGGGACTCATGTGCCTACAGTTTGCCTTCTGCAAAGAGCACGCATACTTAATTGCAAAGGGTACTATTCCACCATTATGCAGGTCCTGGTCAACCACAGGGGCAGATTCATGGACACTGGCAGGGTGTATGATGTCAGGGAGTTCCAGAGATCAGGACTTTTACCTTCATGGAGAAGCTGGAACATTATTCCCACTAAATGACATTGCTTTAAATAGAGTCACAAGTACTCCTGTTCTTTTTACTGTCCCTACTGTTATTCTAGGGGATGCTGCTTACCCTCTGTTGCCATGACTTATGTAACCTTATCCTGATTTCAGAGGACCCGGCAAAAGAAGTTTCAACTACACACTCAGTTGCTGTAGGATGGTGGTGGAATATGCATTTGGTAGATTTTGTTGATGGTGCCTTCCAGGGCCGGCTCTAGGTTTTTTGCCACCCCAAGCAAAAAATAAAAATAAAAAAATCATCAACCTCCGAGAGTGCCACTGCTGAAGCAAAAAGGAAAAAAACCCCACCCCTCACTGGAATGCCCCTCCTAGAATTGTGCCGCCCCAAGCACGTGCTTGGTTTGCTGGTGCCTAGAGCCGGTTCTGGTGCCTTCAAAACCATTTGGATGCCAGTGTCATCAATGAAGTCCACATTATTGGGGCCTGCTGTGTTCTGCATAATGTCTGCAAGGACAAGGGGGAATCTTTTAGCCAGCAGTGGGCTCAAGAAACTGATGTGTTTCAAAATTAGTACACACCGCTATATAGTGCACCTGTCATGACTGGTGATGGATCCAGATGCGCCATGGAAATCAGAGATGTTTTGTTCGCCTGCATAATAGGTTTGCAAAGTCCCATGCATGAGGGGGAATGAAATGATATTTGAAAAATGTTTATTATTAAATGTATTGAGAATGAGCATGTGATGACATTTATTAGTTTGTGCACTTTTAACATTACATATAATAAAACTTGTTACCGTAGCCTTGTGTGAAAATTCAAAACTTTATTTTACACATCTATTTACATACCAGTATAAAAACCAGAAAGGCAGACCAGCTGCAATCAAAACGTACCATGCAAGAACCAAACTCATTGCCAAAACACTGAAAGGTGTATGTTACCAAATGACATGGACAGCTATTTCTGGGTATTCTCTGTCCCTCTGTTCTCCTTGGCCTTTCTGGTGCATTTTACACATGAGGGCTGCAACTGGACTGGAGTGGATGAATGCACAGGGTATAATGTCTGTTCCATGTGCTACTGTTCATTGCCTGTGAGATGGTCCAGGCAACCACTGAACTGTTCCAAGGCTGCATAGTCTGCAGCACACAATACCATGGAGAGGATTCACAATGTGTGGCTGGTGCAGGAGTTATAAGTGGCAGGGGAGCCTGCAGTCTGGTAGCCATAAGCGCAAGTAATTGCTTGAACAGCTCCTCCTGCTACTCCTGTCTTCCCCCCTCAGTCTGGGATCATGCTCCATGAATCTCTCCACTAATCTCTCCTCACGCTGTGCAACATCTTTCTTTCCACCCTTCTTGCATCCTTATTCTTCTGATACTCCATCTGGAAATTTATCTGGTGATTTATTTTATCTGGCTTTTCATTAACTCATCTCAGACTCTCTTTCTCCTTGCCTGCAGAAGGTGGGTATACTTCCCCAGGCTCTTGGTGCCACGTTTGTCCTGCGGTGGTGGAAGGGCCTTGAAAAAAAAATAGAATGTCACATTATTGGCTGCTTTAATTCAAGGTAAAAAAGATACTTTTTATCAATGGGCTTTATTTTATTCACAGAAAAAAACTAGCCAATTCAGATGTCTTTTGGAGCAGCCCAGAAAGCCATTGCAAATCACGGTAAGATACGCATACAAAATTCAGCTGAAATGATTTCTATAGCCTCTTCATTTTTTTGGTGGTGTTTCAAAATTGGTACACACCTGTGTGGGGGACTTTATAAGGGGTCTAATCACTAGCTATGGTTTTTCAATCCTTTCAGGCAGGGCAAGCTCTGGAGACCATTGATATTTGGGAGGTCCCTGAGTGGAAGCGTGAACTTCTGTCGCAGGCCAGCGGAGGACAGCCATCTGTCTATGCTAAGGAGATACTTAGGCATCTAGTGACTGACCAGCACATTTTGGAATGGAGGGGGCTCATAAGTTACAGAGATGGCCCTAATAAGTATGCCCTGCTCCAGAACATTACCAGCCATCTAGAGCTCCACCTTTGTGAGAAGTTTGCTTTCATCACCAGCCATCAATCGGTGAAAATTTGTGGTAAAATCAACAAGATGCTGAATTAGCATGGAGACACAGTATAGCCTCCTGACAAGCACCATGCATCCATGCACATGCCTGACTGAATGCCAGCCATGGGGACTCCTGTAACACAGCCAGCCAGCCACCTTCTGCTGTAATTTGGGCTCCTATATTTAAGCCAGCTATAACAGCCAGGCTTTCTGGGACTCAGTTTACAGGCAGTTTGGGACAGTGCAGCCATGGCTGATTTATAAGGTGCATTGTATTAGACCAGAGAGGTATGTGAGGAGTATTGTGGAGCTCCCAACCAATACTTATAACTATCATTGCGCAACTAGTAAAAACTTTCATGATAACTGCTTGTTTAACATTTTTTCTCATTTTGTAGTGTGCATTTTGAATTCCATGTGGTGTTGGGGGAAAGAGGGGCAAATACTGCAGAAATGATGTGGGTTCCACCTTAAATGGAAGCATACCAAAATCTTGGCTTGCATTAATAACTTAATAGGGCCATAAGCCAGAAATCCCTCCCATCCATACATTAGTAACAGCAAACATGGGGCAGAAACTTACCAGGCTCTGCACTTGCTCTGATGCCAGTTCTGCAGCAGGTTGCTACCCAGGGCTGTCCCCAAACAGTTCCTCCAAGTACAGATCCAGGATGTGCTGTAGCTGCTCCAGCAGTATGAACTCTTTGGTTACCAGCCTCAACACCAGGATAACTTCTTGCCTTTCACCTGGTGGCTGGCTTTCCTCTGGTAATGCCTGTGATTGGAGGGGCAGGGGGGTTATGAGGGTGCCATCACTGCTCAGCAGATTGTCTTGCACCACAGTGGCCTCAGTGTAAAAGAGGCAAGAAGACCGTGAGTTCCCAGAGATGCTGTTAGAATCTTTGACCTTGAGGTAGTCTGTCTTCAGCTGCTTGATTTGCTTTCTGCATTGTTTAGCTGTGTGGTTGAGACCCAACACCGTCAGCTGCTTGGATGTAGCTTTCTAGACATCTCTTGTGTTCTTGCTGAAGTTGAATGTCTTGCTCGCCTTGGATCAGAGGTTAACCAGAATCCATCTGTGTTCCTCTGGACAGCTAGAAGCACACAATGCAGAACTTCTTCTTAGTGCTGGTCATAGTTAATTCATATGAGGGTTAACTGTATTTCCAGCTAAGCATTCCACATGGAAGTGAAGGGTTAAATGCTGAGCAGCTGCATTTCAACCAGGAGTTTGCTTTGAGCTCCTTGGAAATGAGTGAGAAGTTTTGGGATGGAAGAGTTGGGAAACACAGCCCTGGAAGATTGCTACAGTTGGAGGACTCTCCAGACCTGAGTCTGGTGACCTGGCTTGAACTGTGTCCAAACTGCAAAATGCCTGGGCTTTGACCCACGTCACAGGTGCTCTGACCTACCACCACCCTTGCAGAGACCATGGGCCTGAGTCCAGAGGGATTCCTGGCCCAAATCAGACTGATTTCTGTGTGGATGGAAATGCTGCTTGGGCTTAAACCTGAGTCAGGGTGTACTGTGTAGACATACTATCAGAGTGTTAAACCATTCCATTCAGATGCTCAGCCATAAATTGCGAAGAATTAGAATAGGGATCTCAAGCAAATTCAGACAGAGATATTATATATTTCTGAAGTACTGTTTTGTGGCTCTGCAGTTCCATTACTCAGGTGGTGACATAAATAGAATTGTCACCCTCCAAGAATCAAGGGAGTCAAATTCTGCAGGCAGAAGCAGTACATGGGGGCTTTAAACTGCCTGGAGTTAACTGGTGGAGAATTGCCTATTTGCAAGAGAATTCTCTGCCAGTGTATGCAGCAGGAGGATATGTGTAAGGAATTCTGAGGACAGGTCAGCATTGAGACCGGTAGGAAGAGACATAGTGAAACTCCTCTATGCCCTATCCTGCACTGTGGAGTAAGTGCTGTAAGTTAGGGCTACAGCCCAAACTTGTGTGAGGTCCAGGCAGCCCTGAATCAGGGAGCTGCAATGGGCTTTCTGTGGGTCCCTTCTTACCACTCTGTCACATCAAGGCCTAGATCTTTGAAGGGGGAATCCTTCCAATACTCATGTTCATTTCACATGTAGAAAAAATCCAAGAAATGCAAGAAAAAAGAACAGTTCAGTTGTAAAAAGATGATCATTGCCTGTTGGTCCACTCCCTCTGGGGCACCTGGCATTGGCCACTGTCGGTAGACAGGATACTGGGCTAGATGGACCTTTGGTCTGACCCGGTACGGCTGTTCTTATGTTCTTATGAGATGCCCAAACAGTACAAAGAACTTGTCAGAAAAGGGTCAGCTGCTTAAATGATGAAGTTAAACAAGACACAATTGGGGTTAACTTGTCCCTGACTCCAGTTTCACACTTGGACGATAGCTCTAATGGAGTCTTGACAGTTTAAATACCTAACCCTTTTCTAATATGATGCTGTAATGTGACTTCTCACCTCATAAACTTTCTCAGAGGGTAGTGCTGGGGTACTATGCTCCTCAAGTTCAGGGGTTTTTGCTGTCTCATCTTTAGACTTCTCCTTGGAAGATTTTGTCTTGGACCCCTTGCTGTCATCAGGCACTGGTATCTCCTTGCTTTGTCCTTTCTTTTTACCACCTGACTTATCTTTCTTCTCGGCTTTCTTTTCTTCCCTTAGTCGTTCTTCCTCTAGTAGTCGATCATGTTCTTCCTTCCAAGCCTATTACAAAAAGTTAAGAATTCAGGTAACTATGGTCTTGTTTTTAATCAAAAGATGCTTACTGTCCTATAAAAAACTCTCCATTTGCAACTTTAATTCAGCCTCCTGAAATGGCTATGAATGGTGATACAGAGTAAAATTTTGAAAAACACCTAGGTAACTTGAAAGTCAATGGGATTCTTCAGAATATTTTGCATTTTTATAGCACTTAGTATGTTCAAAGCACAACTCTCAAATTCGGCTGCAGTTGTGAGTGCTCATAACTTCTGCAAATTATGCATCGGGTTGCTCAAGTTGGGCACCAAGAAAATGAGTTAACTAGTTAATGTTTGTAGTTCATATGACACTGCACTGATGGTCATCTTGCAGATAGTACATGACTTCAGGGAACTCAAAAGCATGCTGAAGAAGAAGAATGTCCAAGCGATCTTGTCTGAGATCCTTTGTGACTCATGAGAAAAGGAAGGCAGAAGATTCTGGAAGTGAAATGCTGGCTAGATGAGTGGTGTAGGGTTTTGGTTTTTAACATTGGTCAGCCTTCTGTGGAAAGAGGGACCTGTATATTTTGGATGGCTTCCACCTCAGTAGAAGAGGGATCAATCTCCTCAGGGGCAGGCTGGCTAGAGTAGTCAGGAGAGCATTAAACTAACAACAAAAGGGGAGGGTAAAAAGGGAAGATATAAGTGTTAAGTTAGCACAAAATTGGGATGTTGGGAACAAAATTAGTCAAGGAACCCAAAGAAATGTAGAGAAGAAATTCTTCAGTTGCCTATACACGAATGGTAGGGGTCAAAAATAAGAGGAATTGAAATTCCTCATTTATGAGCATAAATTTGATCTAGTTGGTATTACTGAAACCTGTTGGGATTTCTCCCATGATTGGAATGTTAAAATCAATGGTAATAACCTACTTAAGAAGGAGCAAGCATGCAAAAGGGAACGGGAAGTGGCACTGTTTTGACAATAGAGTCAGAGTCACTGATCACTTGGAAGAAAATGATCTTGAATGCTCATGAATCAACATGCTAACATATAAAACACAAAATGGTGTATTAGTTGGCGTCTGCTATAGACCACCAAATCACACTAGGGAACAGAATAGTCGGCTCCTTATGCACCTATCTATAATGTGTAGGAAAAAATGCTGCGTGATCATGGGGGATTCAATTTGAGTGACAATGTGCTAGAAGTTTCATCCTTGGAAGACATCCGAGGAATTTCTAAATAGTATAGATGACAATTTCCTAACTTAAAAAGTGTTGAATTCAACAAGGGAGAATTCTATATTAGACTTTGTTCTAATAGATAAAGAGGAACTGATCACAGAACTAAAAATTAATGGTAACTGAGGTACAAGTTTTCATGACTTGATTAGATTTATAATGTGCAAACAGAATAAAGTCTGGACCAATAATGTATATACTCACTGCTTTAACAGTGCCAGTTTCACAAAGCTGAAAACAATTATGAGCCAAATCAACTAGGAGGAAGATTATAATCAGAAAAAATGTGAGTGGTAATTGGGAATTGTTTAAGAACACTTTACTAGGTGCCCAAAAAGCCACAATCCCATAACTGAAGAAGATGTCTGTACTGGTTAAAAAAACCAACCTGGTTTAGAAGCGAAATGAAGGCAGCTGTAAAAAAAAAATAAAGAAAATAAATAAAAAAATTAACATATAACAAATGGAAGAAAAGGGAAGCGGATAGTAATGAATATAAATCAGAAGCTAGGAATTGTAGAAAATTGAGAACGGAAGCAAAGGGACATAGGAAATCCATGGCATGTAGAATTAAGGACTATAAAAATGAGTTTATTAAGTACTTTAGGGGAAAAAAGAATCCTAAAAATGGTATTGGTTCATTACTAGATAGAAATGATAGACATCGATCCCAGGCAAGATAATGGAGTGGCTGATACAGGACTTAATTAATAAAGAATTAAAGGATAGTAATATAATTAATGCAAATTAACATAGTTTGATATCTTGTTTTGATGAGATTACAAGTTTGGTTGATAAAGGTAAAAGTGTGGATGTAATATATTTAGACTTCTGTAAGGTAATTGATTGGTACTGTACCACATTTTGATAAAAAAAACTAGAAATTTACAAAATTAACATGGCACACATCAGATGGATTAAAAACTGGCTAAATGATAGGTCTCAAAATGTAATTGTAAATGGGGAATCATCATCAAACAGGTGTGTTTCGAGTGGGGTTCTGCAGGGATTGGTCATTGGCCCTACACTGTTTAACACTGCTATTAATGACCTGGAAGAAAACATAAGATCATCAGTGATAAAATTTGCAGATGACACAAAATTGGGGGAGTGGTAGATAATGAAGAGTATAGGTCACTGATACAGACCAATATGAATTGCTCGGTAAATTGGGCGTGAACAAACAATGTACATTTTAACTGGCTAAACGTAAATGTATATAACAAAAAATGTAGGCCATATCTTGAGAAATAATGACTCTGAAAAATATTGGGGGGTCATGATGGATAATCAGCTGAACATGAGTTCCAAATGTGATACTGTGGCCAAATGGGCTAATGCAAACCTTAGATGCGTAAACAGGAGAATCTTGAATAAGAGTAAAGAGGTTATTTTGCTTTAGTATTTGACACTGGTGTGACCACTGCTAGAATACTGTGTCCAGTTCTGGTGCCCACAATTCAAGAATAATGTTGATAAACTGGAGAGAAACCCTCCAGAGAAGAGCAACAAGAATAATTAAAGGATTAGAAAACATTTTTTATAGTGATAAATTAAATATATTGAGCTCTTTGAGTCTAACAAAGAGAAGGTTAAGGGGTGACTTGATTACAGGCTATAGCAATCATTCCCAAACTGGAGTTCATGAACCCCTGGGGGTTTGCAAAATGTTACAGGGGGTTCTTGAGAAAAAATTCCTTACTGACAGACCGAGCTGTCCCTAGGGACTCCGGGCAACATGGGACCAGCAGCCTGGAGCCTTGGGGACTTCCAAGAGCTAAGCAGATCAAAGCAAGCCTATCTATCACACTGAGGAGATTTAAACTTCAAGACTCCTTATAAGAAATGGAAAGGGAGGTGGATATTTTTTGCTGTTTTTAAAATTAAATAGGTTGCTAGTGTTGTTTTTAAAATTATTATGAAGAACACTTTTAAGCTTTGTTATAATGTGCATTGTTTGCCTGGACTGCTCAAGACCTGAATGCTTGTGTAAGAGGAACTCTTTGAGTTGGCTTCTTAGGGTACGTCTTCACTTACCGGAGGGTCCGGCGGTAAGCAATTGATGTTCTGGGATCGATCCCGGAAGTGCTCGCCGTCGACGCCGGTACTCCAGCTCGCCGAGAGGAGTACGCGGCATCGACGGGGGAGCCTTCCTGCCGCGTCTGGACCCGCGGTAAGTTCGGACTAAGGTACTTCGAATTCAGCTACGTTATTAACGTAGCTGAATTTGCGTACCTTAGTCTGAAGTGGGGGCTTAGTGGGGACCAGGCCTTCGATACCTTCATGCTGTTTCACATCTGATACTTCTTGATGAAACATAGGAGCCTTGTCTTATAACAAGCTTATTCAAAGTGATACAAGCTATAAAAGTGAGATCTTGGAAGAGTGTTGCCGTTTTCATGTAATAAAAATACTGTAATGATAAATAATAATTAATAATAAATAGTGTGCAATAAGCATGTCATAAAGACAAATTTTATATTTCCAAGATCACTGCTTTTATAATTTATACTCAGGTAAAGGAGAAAATCCCTGGAAATATTCTTTTTTAGGAGGGGGTTCGCGAGACTTGACATTTTGGTGACAGCGGTTCACAGTTTGTTAAAGTTTGGGAACCACTGGTCTATAGGTATCTATGTGGGGAACAAATATTTAACAATGTTTAAATTTGTTAGTCTCTAAGGTGCCACAAGTACTCCTGTTCTTCTTTTTGTGGATACAGACTAACACGGCTGCTACTCTGAAACCTATTTAACAATGAACTCTTCAGCCTAGCAGAGAAAGGCATAACATGGTCCAATGGCTGGAAGTTGAAGCTAGACAGATTCAGACTGGAAATAAGGCCATATTTAACAGTGAGAGTAATTAACCATTGGAACAACTTACCAAGGGTTGTCGTGGATTTTCCATCACTGACTATTTTTAAATTAAGATTTTATGTTTTTCTAACAGATCTGCTCTATGAATTATTTTGGGAAAATTCTGTGGCCTGTGTTATACAGGAGGTCAGACTAGATGATTAAGGCTTGTCTTGATCCGCGCTAAGCCTAGCCCTGGCTGCTGCTTTCTATCTGGCCAGTGGGGAGAGGAGGGCAGTGATTACAATATGTGGTGATTAGGAGCCCCAGCCTACCCCCCCCACAGTGGCCCCTGGCAGGCTCAAGGAAGCCATCGCAGCACTGCCTGGTGAGGAGCTGACATTGGGATCTGCCATTTGGAGCATTAGCAGGTATGTGTGTGTGGGGGGATGACGATGACACCCCTGTCCTCGTGGGGGAAAGGGGAAGGAATCAAGGCTGAAGGGGCCCAGCCCCAGCAGGGGGATTTGGGAGAGACCAGGATCCACAGCTTGAAGCATGAGAAGGTGTTTGTGGGGCAGTCTATCCCATCCCCACAGACAGGGAGCGCCCCCTCACACACTGTGATCCCCCTGCTGCCACACACGACCCAATCCCCCCCGCCTGCTGGGCCAGGGTCCTCTCATCCACCCTGATCCCTCCTGCCATCTGGGCCAGGACCCCCTCAC